TCCTTTTAAAAAAATAAACATTTTTCTCTAAAACACAGGTACATTTAAGACAGCACTGATGCTCGGTTGCAAAAAAAAATTTACAATTTTGTACAATCAGTTTAAGGTTGGTTTACATTGGAATCACAGAGGCAACAAAAATTTGATATATCATTAGTGCTCAACTAATGATACCAATTAGAATTAGTTTATATCAGATTTTAATCTATCTGATGACAATGTCAACAGGTAAAATTATAAAAAGTGCCTCATTCCTTGTGACCATCTTTGTTGTTAAAATCTTTATCTTTGGTTATCACTTGCATTGGTTATCAAATGTAGCACACATCTGTTACCCCAAGGCATGATCTCAGTTGGATCCTGTACTAAAGCGTCATTTATTTTTATCAACTTTTGTTAAAACAAAAAAACATAAAAACAATGCCTCTGGTTACTGGATGGTTTATTCAAAAGGTTTTTCAAAAAGCATGATTGCTTTTTTGTTGGTAGCAAGATGAGTGAAAAAACAACTACAGAAACTCTTGAAGGACTACAAATACCTCTTGTTACAATTCAATAAATCAGTTAACATGACTGACATACTGTAGCCCAGCTGATTGTTTAAGTGCACATTGTTTATTAGGCGTTGATAAGATAGGGTATTCTCATCCATTCACACTTTAAAGAAAGTAAAGGTGGTGAGGATATGTACAACTAATTCACAATGTATTAGCTGGGGAAAAAAAACACAGTCATCAAAATAGTTTCTTTCATAACTGATTGTGCAACTGTTATGCTTTGTGCAAATATGGGTGCTGTTGGGCTTTGCAGTAATAATTTCCCAATTTCATCTCTTTAAAAAAAATTGCCACTATATATTCCACCAGCGAATTTAATTGTTAAAGATGGGTTTCTCCCACGTGAGGAAAATTGTCAAAATTGTAAAATTGATTTGAAAAAGAGGCCTTCAGCACTATGTGTTTAAATCCGTATTCAAGCACATTGAACCTGCCAACAGTGAAATATCTCCCCAGGCTGATGTGAGGTGGTTAAGTGAAGTAAGGGTGCTACAAAGAATTCTAGATATATTGCTTAAAATTGTCATCTTTCTAAAATTAGGAATGAGCTCTGCAGTGAGTTGTCAGAAAATGTGTGGTGGCAAGACTTCAGCTTCCTTACGGCATATCATTAAATATGATCTGTGAACTGCAGGGAAAGGACAGAAACTTTTCACATACTGTACTCTTTAGACAGTACTGTGGATGCATTCAGACTGATGATGGATTTATAGTGATTAAGGGATCGGAAAAAAATAGTGAAAAAATCAAAGAAAAAGAGTTGCAACCCGAAATACGTACACACCTGGACAAATTAACTGTGGAATCTGGAAATTCATTCCTTGAGTAGACATCTGTGGGTTGGCTACTAAATTCCATCTGGTGTTCGATTTACAAATCACTGAAGCTGATACTGAAATAATTACTGTGCAAGAATTATAAAGAGATGAAAGGTAAATCAATGGACCCACTTCTATAATTCTGTGTTTTAAAGGTGAAAGCTTACTTTAGTTCCACATTCCTTGGTGACACAGCATTCTCTCAAACGATAGTCAAAGTACTGTATAGCACATGATTCACAGTTACCCATCTAACCAATAGCAGCCGTAACTTGTTAGATTTCAAGGCACTGACAGTTATTGTATAGCCATGAGTTACACACACACACACATATATACTGTTCACATTAAAATTGACAATTTATTTTACATTCATGGGGTAGATCTTGGCTTGTATTTAAATTCAAAATGTTTTCTACACATACACTACTTCAGATGTTTATCCTGCTTGTCTTGGGCAACAATAATATGGTTGATTGAACTTATTAAACAGGACCTCCCATGAGCAGCTACAAACTTTAGAAAAATCATTGAATGTCATGTAATGGCCAAGGTTAAATGGGACTCATTCTGTTCAGCTAAAGAATAAAAATGATTTACAACCCAGAAACAAAAGATAAAAAATATTAAAAGATTTTCTTCAAAGGCATTGCTTTTTTGGAAATATGAGACAAGTGCGAGAAAAGTACAAAACTAATAAAGAAACTTCAACAAAATCACACTGTCAACAGATAGACCCTTTTTTAACAAACCAACTAAGTTTAATAAGGCAGTCACATGTAAGGATGTAGCCTCTCCCCAATCACACAGACGTGATCAATTATGTCCCAGACTAAAGCAATTATTCCACCCTAGTCCAGTCCTGCTAATTGACGTGTACCATAATACCCATTTCCACTTTAACATTCCCATACTCAGAAATACAGATGGGTGAATGCACACCTCTTTAAAACAGTGACATGGCTCCCTAACCCTTCATCAACAGGTTTCACAAGGAAAAGTCAACAGCCTGAGGTGAATCATGTGAGGGATACATAAAGTTGAACACATACAGTTGAACACACTGCAGACTAAGCTGAAGATTTTTCTGCTTGACTCTTGCACATGTTAACACTTACACATCCTGTTATGCTCTATTGTTATTTTAACTGCTATTTTATTGTTGTCTTCTGAGTAACATCGGTTAAGCCTTTTGGCCAGGTTTTCATTCTAAATTAATCTTTCTCAGCTGATTTGTCCTGTCACATAGAACAGTATAACTCTTTTTATTTTGCTGCTATACAAAGTAATATTGACATTTTTCATTTAAATTTGCAAATGCACTGCTCATAAATGTGAGAACTAGCGTTTATGTAGTGTGGTAAAAAAAAGTAAATTCTCGCCCATTCAAGCTGGATTTGTTTAAAAATGAGAATTACAATTAGTGGATATTTTTATTTCCTCCTAATTAGGTAATGCCAAATTGTTTATTACCTTGGATATACTGCTTGTAGCAGCCTAAGGCTGCTTAGTGCTTTTCTATGAAATGTGCATTTTCATACTATGAGACTTACAGCACTTAAGCAGAGTTAGTGCTCAATTAGAGGAGTAATGCAGATCTCACTCATAATACTACAAGTTCATAGGCACCCAACAAGTCCAGGGGATGCTATTACACAGCAAGCTGAAAATCAATGTCTGAAACCCACCCCAACCCCCCGACTTCTTGCCTCTAAAATGTCAAAAGTCAAATTATTTGAAGGTGGGTGGGTCAGAGGCTTCAGCAAAGATTTCCCTTTCTCTCAAAATGTGTGGTTTTGAGATTCGTAGCTGCTAACCAAGACGTACAGTACACAGTTTACAATTTAAATTCAGGTGGTGTGATGAAAACTCCTAATAGATAAGCACTTTCTAAAGATTTTGTCCATAATGCAAATGTGCAATTTCTTCTATCTTTCCTGGTACAATAAAAAGTGCTAGCAGTAAAGATTTAAAAATAATGTTAGAAATCTTAGCATTCTGTTGAGAATAGTTGAGAATAACTAAGCCGTAATCACGGGGGTCTGAATGCAGAAAAATGGCCAGGGAGATAAACTTACTACTGTACTCAGCTGCAACTGTGATGACCAGGCTCCAGAGCCAAGGAGAAAAGCCTAAATACCTACCTCAATCCAATGACTGCAAAAACTGTGAGAGAATGGTTACAGGTGTTGTGTGAGTGACTGAGACGCTGAAAGTTCTGGGGAGATAGGCAAGCAGGGGGGAAAAGAGGAGGCATACCATCTCCTGCAGTCTACTATCCTGAGATGGTATTTGAGTCTTGCATGCCTGAAACTTTGATACTTGCACTAGGACTTTGTGTGCAGGCTTGGCAGATGTGACTAAGGCATAGGACGCCGCAGTACAAAACTTATACTTGGGTGCAAGACCAAGATCTGAGACTGGACTGAGCTCCATGCTGTAAACCAACTCCAGATGGGTAAGTTCAGCTGGGGCCAGCTGTTATTGCAAGCAGGTAGTGTAATGTGTAATGTTCCCAGAATCTGAAGACTTATTATAACTGGTTTACATTACTCTCTGAACACAGGCACATGGACAATTGTAGCTCCCACATGGAGAAATAAGAGAAAATAGGAGCTTAGTTTAAATAGGAGGAGGTTTCCCACTTTTGCGGCAGCCAAGGAAAAGATTGAAAAGATTGGCTAATATGCTTGCCTCTCGTCTGCCTTAATCTAGCATTCTGTTCTGTGCTTTTATTTCTACAGTAAATCTTTTGACCACAAGCATGCTTATGGTCACAACAGGATTCACAGACATTTAACATTATAATAACGTGTGGCATCAAATTGGAGCTCTACAAATTAAAACTTACTTATTTAATATTCTGCTAGAAATTCTTGAACGGTTTGTCTTTTTTAGATATATATTTCTTTGTTGGGTGTCCTGAATATTTTAGCGTCCTGCTGTTTTACTGGCTCTTCAATGAAAACTACATTCTAATCTGCTTGAAATGTCTTTATACTGTATGTTTTTTTTCCAGCATTGTAAAGAAAATGTATAAAAGAAGATCCTACAGAACCTCATTTATATTGTTGGTATATAACTTTAGTAGTTCATGTGGGTACTGTAGCAGCATCAGCATGCGTAGGATGCAAAGGAACAAGTAATAGGTTTATTCACTCACACCTGAAGAAGGCTCCATGGCCAAAACGTTGTGTTTTCTTTCTTCTCTTTTCAGCATGGAATAAACCTATTACTTTAGTAGTTTTTTTCAGCAGAGATCAATTGAACAAGTGTGTAGTGGGGAACTGACTAATTTGAGTAATTTACTGAAGGACAAAATTCTCTCTTAACATAATGCCTGTAATATATCAGTCTCAAAGGATACTTCATGTCTCATGAAAAACATAAAGTGTCTTATTTATATTATTAGTTGAAGCTGCTCTAATGTCATTTATCACTTTGTATTTAAGTATTTTTCTTACAAGAATATTTTCTTGAACAGGAAAGTTGGTTTTCATGCATGCATTTACTCAGATTCCATTAAAGTTCATAAAACAGTTCATTGACATATGAAAACATGGGAGAATAAGAAATAAATCAAAAGAAGGACATGCAAAGTTCACTAAGGGAAAATAACACTCACCTATGCTCTGGCAGGACAGCTCCATGGAGTCTGAGGAACAGTCACTAAAGTCCTCTAGTGAAGAAACATCATTGTCCTCAATCTGGAGCCTAAAATAATTAAGTCAATAATACTAGTTCTGTCTTAGTTATGTACACAGTTCCTATACAGAATTCTTATCCTGTGTTCAACAAGAGATCTTTTTGTGATCTTACTGTATAGTACAGTATGTCACTATCAAAACATTTATTCTCTGTGTGTTTTTTCTTAATTTAACCTTTTTAGTTTATTTAATATTTTAATTAAATATAAAGGAAAGATTCTGATCATTATAATTACATAAGTTAGAGTTTTACATACTGTATAACTTTTTGAGGTAGGTTTACTAGATTTTTAAACAACTTAGCTCAAGAGGTGTGGTAGTCTAGAGCTACTGTATATACTGTAGTTGTCAAAGATGATTCCCTACTCACTTCAACAAACAACTGGAAGAGATTCCCAGATCAATAAGCTACTAGTACCCTAGGTGTGGTTAGGTGTGGACAATCCCCTGGGTTGTTCAAATCTATACCCTCTTAGTATCTGGTTATATTATGATGTCAAGTTAATATATACGTACAGCATATTAAAATGTATGCAGTATAATATCTATGTTATAATATATTGAGTATCTCAATCTCTTCTGTTCTAGAATAAAATGATTCAGTTCCCTCAATCTATTCATACTACTGCCACCTGAAATCAGGAATCATTTCTGTTGCTCTTCTATATCTGTAATATCTTTTAGATGATATGGTGATTCAAAAGTGAACACAGGATTCTGAATGAGGTCTTACAAGTACTGTACATTTGAGATCTTAAGCATAACTTCCCTGGATTTAAATTCCACACTTTTTACTATATACTTGAGCATTTTCCTTTTTGCAGAATTCTATCAATTCATTAGAAAACACCCTTACTTTCTTAAATCCATGTTGTCTGTCTCTTAAACTCTCAGTGTTTTCCAAGTATTTAGTTAGCTCCATCTACTGTACAGTATCATTTAAGAAATGTAGGACAATCTACCAATCTTCTTCTTTTAAGTAGAGTTTAAGTATTCTAGCTACGTGTCTATGAATAACATCTCTGATAATGTTCCTTGACATATGGCCTTGAACTTGTTTTTCTTGTAGAAACAGGAATTATTCAAATTATTTACTGCGTAATAAATGAGAATAAGAGAAAAAATACAGCTTTCCTCTCTAGCCATGTCAAGGCACTCTTCCAAAGCCAGTCCAATGATTCATTCAGTGAGCCTAATTCTTTTAGCCATCAGAGCAGATTAATGACACTGAGATGGCAGGAAACCAGGTGTTTGCACAAATACAGTTTAATTTATACTATCTCTATCAAAATAAAAGGAGGCAAGCAATTGATGTAGAGAAACAGAAGAGAGTCTGAAGTAAAAGAGAAATCAAGAGACAGTACAGAAGCATTAAAGGGGAACTCCAGTCCCATTTCCTCAGACCAGTTATTAAATCTCGGTAATAAAATAAATTAATTGATGGTATAGAAATATTTTACCAATTCCAAATCAAGCACAAAATCATGAACTTTGTGAAAGTACTCTAAGTCACCATGTTGTTGCAAACCCCTGGTCTTGCCATGGGAGTGAGCAAGAGCGAGAGCTCCCACAAATTGCAACGTGAAGCGGCCCTTCTTGCTCACTAGTCACTGTAATGACTAATGTGATATATGAGTGAATAAGTATAGGCTGTGCAATAGACATTTCACCATAGATGTTAAAATGTGATCTGCATGCAGAGTTAACAAATAAGTAGTATTTATTAGCAAAACCATTTGGAAATCCAGAGCAGTATTACTATTGGTTTACCTGTAAAAGAGATGTATTTACAAACTTGCTTTGTTACAATTTAATAAGCCAGCTTCACTTCACTGTTTTTGTTGCCTCTTTCTGAATTGCAGAAAAGCTGTGTGGTATGGAACTTTTGTCTGTTTTGTGATGTAAAATGGAGGTTTTACAAGTTACTGTATACATTTTACTTTTATTGTGGTATGAAATGCATGAATCAATGCTGATTCTTTCGAAGGACAAAATATAAAAATAGTGTTTCAGTTCCTCTTTAAGAGTAGCAATAAAGAGGGAAACCACTGAAAGAAAGAAGAGAAAATGTGTGAAACATATGTTCCTAAGGATTTTGAAGTGCCTTCAGTAATGGAGATGCAGAATTACTACTGTCTATAGACAGACTTATGAAAAACACATGGATATGACAGCCCATTAGGGACAAAGATATGAGTAAATTCCATAAATTCCATAAACTCATAACACTTCAAAAGCAGGCACATTATGCTACAGTATATATAAGCCAGATGAGATGCATTTAGTGTCTGACTAGGGTCTTACTACTGCTTGCTCAAGTGACCACTTGTAAACATGCACAGGTGACCCACAAATGGCTTTTGAAGGCAGTCTCAATGTCTGAAAAAATAGAAAAAAAATAGGAAATAGAAAGCTGAGCACTTACCTGTACCTGAAAGGTGCCACTGCAGCCATATTGACTTGTGATGGCTGGTTCCCTTTGGGTAACATTATAGCACTGTCTCCCTGAACACTCACTGAAGGGGATACAGGTTGCTCTTGTTTAGTCGGAGAAGAGTCTTCTGGAGTGCCCATTTCTTCATCAGAGAAACTCCCCAACCCACCAGGGACGCTGAAATCTAGATGGCCTTTATCTGTCCTAATGCTGTTTGTTCTAGTAGGAGCTAAATTGGGCAGCGAATTGTCATTGCTGAATGTGGCAGGCACCCTCTCTTTGGCTGTGCATGGGGAAAGAGCACTGTCTTCCCTGGTGCAGCTTTTGTTCTCTCGCAAATCCTCATTGGCATTTTGACTAAATCCTGAATTGCCCTGTTGTGTGACTTTGTTTCTGTTCTGCTTCTGATCCCTGAAAGCATCAAAAGCTAGGGAGCTCTTGTTGACGTCCAATGTGTCTTTTGACCTGGGGGCCTCCTTTCTTGAGATCCGAGGGCTGCTGAATGCAGATCTCGTCCCATTGTCTCTTTCAAAAGCATAGGAAGCCTTAGATGAGCTACAAGCTCTGGACATGCCAGTGTTCTGGAACAGAAGCTGATTCCTTTCCCAGGATCTGAGAGTACTTCCTCTTAGCAATTCTTTGGAGGATGTTGTACCCTTGGCACTCACTGGCAACTGTTTCATTTGCCTTGTCCCTCCAGTCCCTTGGTTTTTGTCCACCGGCTTGGATGAGGTAATTAAGCTCCGAGGCAGAGGAATTCCTGAGCCCTGCTGTGTCCTTGGAGCAATCTTTAGGTTGACGCTTCCACTCATGGTTGCGGACTTCAGGTCCTGGCAAGATGTTTCTAAAGGAGACATTCAGAAAACTCATGTCCAAGTGCATTTGTTTTAGAAAAACAGAATCAGAAAGTATATCCATAACTTTACTTGAGTCTCTCACACAAAAATAATACCAAAAACAACTGATTCTGCAAAAAAATACAATTTTAGTTATGTTTACTTTTCATGAAACTCAAAGCACAGATGTACAGTATTTTAATTTTATTTATGCAAATAATTTAAGCACAAGGAATGATTTTTGAAATCTTTTCTCACTTTAATGAAATAATCACAAACATAAAGACATTCATAACAGAAAATAAATAATGGACAAAAATACATGAGAAGACACCCTGAAAATATTTACATTTGTCTCTCGAGTGTGCTACCAAACACAGTTTCGGTGTTAAACACCCTTCCATATCAAAGCATTTAACTCTTGGAGGATTCCAGAGATTTTGCAGGGGAGCAGGAACAAGATGACGTCTGTTAGTGGTCACCACAATCAGCTCTAATCATGTTGCAGTTAAAAAGTTTAAACTCAAACACATCACTTAAGTCAAGCTTGGCTGCTGTGAGCACAAATGTTTTAACACTGTCACCCTTACGAATTAATATGAGGAAATATAAAGTTTTTTTAATCTTTAATCTTTGCATAATGGATATATTTTGTTCCAATCATTAAAGTCCTTCAAGGAGAATAGAACATTTCAAAATGAAATTACCTAATTTTTCAAAAAAGAGATACATTTTTACGAAAAGCTTATTTCCCTTCCATTTGACCCATTATTATTGAAAAGGCTTAGAGCTTTTTTGAATGGAAATTTCAGCAAAATGTTCATGTAACCTTATACAGTATGTCACCGTAAATGATTGTCTTACTCACCGCTTGAATGTTAGATATGACTGTGGATTGACAGTATTTGTCAAAGGACATGTGATAAACAGTTAAATATACAAGATCTAACATTATAATAAAAAATTGATTGTCTTATAAATCACCTGTCTGCAGCCTTCTAAATCTGATAGACAAGATTAGCTTTATGGCCTTAGCAAACTTTTCCTAAATATGTTGGTTCATCAAAGAAATACAGGATGATGTTACTAGGAAAAAACATCAGGCAATCAATTGAAATATTATTTTATCATCTGCAGTTATAGCAAAGATAAGACAAAAGTTTTATCCCTTATTCAGGCATTTCAAATTACATTAAAGGTAATGAAAATTTCTATATGAAGTGACAGACCCCTGAGTTTGGCATAACCAGGCATTACACAAGCTTAGGTAACCGCAGGCAGATCTCAAACCATCTTTAAAAGTGGGGATATAAATAGGATTTTCCGCTTTGCATTAGTGTTGGGGGTAATCTGTAATGTCTCATACTAGTCTTGTGTTAGGGGGCACATGTTACCCTGTGATTGAAATGTCAAACAGAGATTTCATGAAGATTAATTTGGGCATTATGGCTATTTAACAATAGTAGCTTTTGGGGAAAAGCACAGAAGTGGAATGCGTGGGATTTAGATAGTTGAGAAGGTTGTTGGCAGGGCCGCAGTGCTAAAGAAGTGGATTAAGAAACAACAATTGGAACAATGTTCCACATAAATGGCTAGATGGGCTGAAAGGCCTTCTCTTGTTTGCAGCTGTTCTCAATGTGTCAAATAATCTACTTTTCAGGTTAATCTAGTTTCTATTTAATAAATTGTCAGGACACCTTAAATTAGAGTACTTCTTGAATGTAAATCTTATATTTAATACAATATACTTGTATATCCCATATATCACATGGATTATTTCCACAGAAACATGGAAATGCCAGCATCACCCCAGTAATTAGGAGGTAACCAGATTAGACATATCCAGTTCCATTCTCCTTAAGAATACCTCAACTGCAGCATCTTAAAAAAATAAAATATTTTCAAATTAAAATACCTTCAGACATTTCCATATCTTACTGGGGGAATAAATAAATATTCATATCTGAACAAAAAACTTGCTCCTTAGAAATAGTGTTGGGTTGTTGTGGGAGGAAGGAGGAATAAAGTTCAAAATTTATATTTGAAAAATTCCATAAACTTGAGTGAAATATATACAGTGTGAAACACATTAATGTAAATCATTTTTAAAATTCTAGAATTGTAACAATGCTTCTTTGCTACACTCTTGATGACACATGAGGAACTATAGTATAGCATAGTGAGTTCAAATGTAGATTACTGTAAGACAAAACATCATAATACTATCACAGATGTCAGAAGGGATGAACCATGGGATGACAGGAGAGCGAAAAGACCCTATGCGTAGCGACGAGACGGGGTTAGCCCCGGGCTCAGCTGTTCAGGAAATGCCGTATAGAAACATATACTCAGGTAGCGGATGTGGGGCGACCCATGTGCTAGGCGGGTTACAGGACATCTGAACGTCAATGCTGAGCGAAGGCAGAATGAAAGACCCGGAAATATATAGCCCCAGAGAGAGAGAAACACCGGAAGGACAGCAAAGAACCGGAAATGAGAGATAGGACAGAAAAGAAGCAATTACTAGTTTTCATTGGAAAATAAAAAATAAATACATTTCTAACATATCAATTGAAGGACTTATCATCCATTAAGATAGATAACAATACATTCAGCAAGTTCTGAGAAAAACATATCCTCACTGTGTCTGCTGATTTGTTTCACATTAAGGTTCGTTTCTTGAGTGTCACAAGAATCATACAGTACATGATGTTCTAACACTATTTCAAATCACTCCTGATTTTTTTCTTTAGACTAGAAAGCCTTTTTAGGACCTAATAAGGACTTCAACCCTGTCAGTATAATACATGTTTAACATAGCATGTGAGTGAAGACATGGTAAAAACTGACATTCTTTTTTATTACTCTCCACCAAAGGAGGGTACCTCTTACTGTGGATTGTATCATGTTGTGATGCTGTACTACACCAGGCCTTTTTTGTTGTGCAAGTCAATGGAAGACTGAGTCAATCACTGTGACTCTTCCATGCAACACCATTTGTTTTCAGAATGAAGTTGTCTTTGGCTATACACAACGTTCTCAATCAAGAGAGGAATTGCACTGAATAGATATTATAATTAGAAATGTACAAACGTGCACTCCTAACAGTCATACCATACTACTGCATGTTCAAAGAAATCATTTTTTAAAGGAGCTAATTAATTTGCTTATCATTGCTTTCTCTGACTTAATGATATGTAAAGATGTATATGTTTATTTCAGAAAAACACAAATCTTTTAGATTTTTTTAATTGGTGTCAGGATAGAAAACATAATGCTGACACTTTTTTAGAAGGATTTTATTCAGTGCATTCTAACCTTTTGTATTCAGAGGTACGTGTCCTTGCAGAACAAAAATAAGTTGAACAAAGTGATCAGGATTGACGGCAAAATAACTGGCACATTCTTGGATTTAATAACATGTCTAATGGAGCAACATCTTTATTAATCTCTCACGTAAAATCTTAGATGACCTGTCTCATCCACTCTAACATAGAATATATTCTCCTTCAGAGAAGGTACCACATCCACACCCCCTTCTTCAACTTCTTCTTCAATTTATTTTAATAGGCCCCTCTTAATATATTGTATTCATACACATATTTACTGTACAGCACAGAACTGTCAACATTGATTTTATAAAACCACAAGTAAAAATAAAAAAAATGGATTAAAAGAGATTTTGAAGTTTTAAAATCACTTCAAAACAGTGAGTTCACAGGAAACATTCACAGCTTCTTTATGTGATGAGTAGAAACAATATAACATATTTAATCATTTAGCAGCTTTTATGCGTAGATTATGCCCAGGTTTGGTTACACTCTTTGAAGTCTCTGGGCTTAATAAGTATAAATTACTCCAACCATAGAAAGGATAGCTCTCACCATGATGAAGCTCACTTGACCACCTAAATTTGACTCATGGTGTGTTGTAGATGGAAGGTAAATTGGTTTAGGATTGCTTTTAAGAACGATCACTGATTGTATTTTTTCAGTAAGTGTAGTTTTCTTATTATGAGTTAAACTCTCTAAAATATTGTCTGGGCAGAACATGAGAGTACTTCGTAAAGAAAGTGAATAAAATAACTGAAAACTGTCCCTGTTTAGTGACCCAGTGGTTCAAAATTGAAATTTTGGAGTTCGGGTTAAATGTTATACTATATTTAATCTGTTTTAATAACTTCTTGTTAATCTTATCAATCATTAGTGGAAATCACTATATACGGATTTACTGATACTGACTCTATGCATGACTATGTTCCAGAGTCTTAGAATTGTATTACTCTCTTGGCTACTCTATAGCCTTTCTTTTGTTTCCTGTATAACATGCAGTATTTACCTTATTCCATGTAAATATGTAATGCTTTGTTTTGTTTAGTCTGTGACATGCAAATTTCATCAATTTCCCTACTGGATTAATAAAGTAATATCTATCTATACAGTGAAAAGTTCACAGTATGTGTCAGTAGCATGCTTGGGTGTACTCCTATGTTGTTATCATATGGTGCCTACATCATTTATTCAGTAGACAACTTTGATGACCTTGGCTATTCACGGGAAAGTAGCTGTCCTGTCTGCCCATCCACTGTTCCTCCCGTGTGATGTCAGGCCAAGGACAGAAGGTCCAGCTGGTACAGTGGGGATCTCCTCTACAACCATAGCCAAATGAAATGTGAATTCTCACTCTTCCCTTTCTCTGTTGTTCCTTCAGTAGCATTTTTATATTCTATCTATATTTATATTCATATGTGTGATACGATTTTTCTGTGTACTGTTCTGTTCTAGTTTGTTCTTTGTGTGTCCGGACTGTGAGTAACTCTTGTATTGTATTGTATGTATTGTACTATTATTATATAATTCGTTACACTGTGTCTGTGTTGTCTGTGTGAAGCTGCTGTTGCACTGCAATTTCCTTCACGAGATCAATAAAGTATCTATCTATCTTTATCTCACTCAGTAATTATTTCTTATTTTAAGATTGACTTTACTACAGATGACACTATCATTTA